AAAAAAAAAAAAATAAAATCAAATGATACAGGAAACAGAAAGCAAGCAACCTTAGCTCGGCAGCATAATACTATATAAATAAATATATGGATAGGTAGTTAATAGGGTTGGAATAAAACAGAAAAAGGAGAAACTGATAGTCAACGTTGACAATTATTATTTTTTTATTTTTTTTTATTTTTTTTTTTTTTAAACAACCTGAATAGAAAGCTAAATTTATAAAAAAGAAAACAAGAACAAAATCAAACATACCCTCCGCGTATATGAACATAAGATATAAACATAAAGCGTTAGAAAATTTCACATTAAATACAACAAAACCTTCATTGATATGTGATTCCTGTTCTTTTATTGACTACTGGCTGGCTGGCTAAGTTGCCGCCATCTTTTTTGTTATATGCAAGGATAGTGTGTCCTTTCTTTTTTATTTAATATTTTTTTTTTTTTTGTTTTTTTTTTTTTTAATTTTTTTTTTGGACATTTTTTTTTTTGTTTTTTTTTTTTTTTAACGCGGTATTAAATTAATATTTGTTGACTTTTTGCGTAGATCAATTTCACCACATTGTTAGAACAGTTTATTGAAAACGGGTTTGACGCGTATTTATTGATTTCATTTCATGGCGCAGGTGCAGCTCGTAAGCAAAGACGTGAACGTACGACATTCACACGAAATCAGCTGGACGTACTGGAGGGCTTATTTGGTAAAACACGTTATCCCGACATATTTATGCGCGAGGAGGTGGCATGTAAAATTAATTTACCCGAATCTCGTGTCCAGGTAAGTGAAATTTTTAATTAATTTTTAATTTTTTTCAAAATTTCTATATTACTTACTACATTCAATTTGTTCTCACGTACCCTGAAATTTACATAAAATATGTAATAAAATATATATTTTAACGAAAATGAGAAACTTAATAGTTAATCGCAATAAATCAATGAAAATAGAATGCAAGTAAATACTTGTCATATATATATATATATATATATATATACATATATACATATATATATATAGATACGTTTTATAGAGTCACCATCGATTTGAATTTCTTTTGACGTCTCAAGCCTTAAAAATATGATTTTAAAGTCGCGTGGAGTCTTCGCCACAATATCAATTTACTTGCGTAGTAAATCACATTGATCTAAGAACCGAAAATGGATGTGAAAGTGATGAGTATTACAAGCCCTACATCATATTAAAAAAAAAGAGAGAGAGAATGATTTTCACCGTAAAACCATTTATCGTAATCACGTTCATCTTTCCCTGACACAATAAGTAAAGCAATCAAGTTCTCGTTAAAAATTCGATAAGCAGGCCGACAATGAGTAAAGATCTGCGATATTTGACATAATCAAAATTCATATTTGAAATATTAAGTAGAATAGAAAGCTAAAATGTCGCAAAAAGAAAAAAGAATACTGACCATCGATTACCGTGCTAAAATTGCAACCCTGGCTAATACTTATTCAAATGGCTTTTTGGTATTTAGAAATAAGGTTAAGGTAAACTATAGATGGGTTTCTTTACTTGAGTCGACTGAACCGTATCTACCTATCGTTAGTTGTTTGCATTTGCATGTTTTTCAATTTGATGCCAGCCAAGCAAATAGATTCGCGTATAGGAACCGTCGCTTCCGACTTGCTGTGTTTGAATTAAGGGGCTCTCATGTCCCGTTTGTTTTTTTTTTCTTTTTTTTTTTTTTTTTTTTTTTTTTTTTTGAGAAACCATTCTTAACACTTAAATGCGTATTGTTGCCAATTGTCTACATTTCAGTTCTACTTAATTTTCAAAATAATTTTAAGCAACAAAAAAAAATAAACTTAATTTTAAGTTGAATATCAAACGGGAATATAGACAATTGGCAACAATGCGCATTTAAGGGTTAATGAGATAATTCTTGCTCAGTTAATTCATAGTAATATTATTGAACGCATTTTATTAACCTATCTTGAATAATCCATTCTATAAACAAATTTAAAGTTGAACTTAAGTAATTAATATAAGTAATAATTAAAGTAACGACAATTCTTCCAATAGAGGAAAGGAAAACCTTAGACAGACAGAATTTATCTACAATTGTAGATTGGACAAGAAGATTTCTGAGCGATCAATCGCCAATGAGCCAAGACGAATTCCCGAAAATGTTTTGATCTTATTTTTGTGATTATTTATTGGATATAATGCTGGAATTGGATGAGGGTTAAGGGAAGAGTAATATCAATGATTGATAGTCTTCTAGGTTTGCTTCGATAATTTTGAATTTTCAATATAATCAACTTTTCCAGAATTTGACCTGCAAAAGTAGCAGACTTTCCCATTCGAACAGTTTGCTCATTTCCCAATACAAGCAAAGAAAAAAAAATAAATAAATAAATAAAATAATTTTTACTTTGGTTAATATCGTATAGATTTCTTTCGATTTTTTTTTTTTCAAATTTGTTTTCAACAACAATTTATGAACGAAGAGTGTAAATTTTGTATTCAAACACGGAATCTTTATTGCAAGTTCTCTCCGATTTCAAGCTCAACTTTTGCATCGGCAATTGTCTCAAAAACGCTTGACTGGCTGGACTGGCAAGTGCATAAATTCCCTCAGTATCTCAAGGTGGCCATGAATTCGTGTATTTCGCATCGAATTGCCAATAAATGTTTCAATTATGAAGGGGCACTTGCTTCTAATCTTTTCTATCGATAAGGAGTGAAACAAGTGCAGATTGAACAAATTAATCTAGTCCGCAAATATATATATATATATATATATATATATATTATAAGTTAAATAATTACATAATTATGTATATTATATACTTATATTCATACATTATGTATCTATTTTCATACATATCATAAGATAATCAAACGTCCTCCTTAAAAATCTTCTTAAAAATTTTTTCAATCTACACTTGTTTTCCGAGCCACAAACGTTTCCTTACTTATGAATTATACACATATATATATATATATATACATATATATGTATAGTAAATAAATTTCTGATTTAAAGAAAGAAAAAAAAGAAGAAAACATTAGTTTAGAATTTCGTTTTCAAAGGAAAAACTTATTCTTTAGCAGACTTAACAACATAACATAAAATTAAGTTAATTCCATTTCAAAACTTTCACTTGAATTCATTTAACATTCAATAGCTATTGCCGATTAACTTAGCAAGAGAAATAAAGAATAAAAGAGAGAGAGAGAGAGAGAGATGTTGTTGATTTGAAGACACACACACACACACACACACAAAAGATTGTTATTAGTTGTCGTGTTTTCTTCTATATATATATATATTTTTTTTTTTTTTGTTTTTTCTATGTTCACAAAGCCAAGCAAATTGAAATTGTGTTCTTTACAAACGATCAAACTGGGCGTCAATACGTGAATTAAAAGTAATATTATCAAATATTTATTATGATTGTGTTCTTCGTTGTGTTGGAAAATGCTTTAAAATTGCTTTCACAATGTTGCAAAGAATTAATCCTTAGCTGAGAATATTCAAACAATACAACAGCTGTGCAAGTTCCAATCTGTACGGGAGTGAGGGAGAATCGAACAGAAGTATTAAAAGTATAAAATAAATGTTGTTTACGCATTATTGACACACATGTAGATTATATGTATAAGGATGGCGTATGATCGCTAACTTCATCCCACCACCACCACCACCACCATCACCATCACCATCATCATCACCAACACCGTCATCACCGCTACAATATTAACGGGGACAATAATGAAAGCAACGGCAATAGCAACAATAATAGCAACCACCATTAATATCATTTCGGTCAATATTTCTAACAATTGTACGCTTTATATATAATGTTAGAACCTAACTTTGGCAATTGTCACCATTTGCATGAGAATCGGAAAGAGTTCATAAGGCATATAGGGTGTAAAGCATAATTCGAATGTATGCATCTATGTTTAATATGTAGAATTGAAATGAATGCATAAAATGTATAAAACAAACACAAGCACACGAAAGAAAGAACACTAAATTTTAAATAACACAATCTGCATAAAACTAGTTTTTTTTTTTTTTTTCCTTTGCAACTGCAGTCATTATCACCCCTTCTAGTTGATGCTTGAAAAATACAACAAGAAAAGAAGGAAAAAAGAAAAATTCCGTCAAAGCCAATCTGTAAAATTCCAAATTATCACTTGAATATGCTAAGATAGCATTTTATGTATTCCTCTCGAGCTGTCTGCATGCAGGCGCAAAGGTGTTTGTATATATATATATATATATATATATATATATATATATATATATATATGGGGATGGATGTCGACGAACGAAAATGTTTCGTAAAATTTTCAACATGAATAATAAAGATTTGATTTATGATTTCGTTATGCTTTGCTAGAAAATGCAAACACACATGATCACAAGTACACGTGCACGTACACGTACACGTATACGTACATGGACACGCATATATAATTACAATTTACGCACGTAAATAGCATCTAAGACTATGACTCCCTTTCATTTACTAATCATGTATATTCATAATGCAGTAGGTTGGCAAATGTATATTACGGTCGTCATCATCGCCAACCATTTGTATCAACACTCTCCATATTTAGTTGTTGGCATTGCCGTCAACCTAATAAATTGCTATATATAAATAAATATATATGTGCATATGGTATTGCCCGTGTACAGGAGTAGTAGTAGCATTAGGGCGTAAATGTTTGTTCTGTTTTGGTTCAGATAAGCCATGGAAAATTATTGCTGTGCAAGAACATGCGACCGTTATTTGTATTGGTTGGTTGGTTGGTTGATTGGTTGGTTGGTTGGTTGGTCGTTTGGTGGATTGTTTGGTTGGTTGGTTTGTTTGCTTGTTTGTTTGTTTGTTTGTTTATTTGTTGATTTGTTTGTTGTTGATTTGCTTCGTATATATACGGTTAGTTGTCCACGGAGTCGATCATAGGAAGACCTAAAAAGCCTACGTCAAATATTTCTTAATGTTAGAAAAGAATAGAACAGAACACGGAACACAGAACACAGAACAGTCTAATGCGTTAATTGAAATAAATTAATTATAGAAAAAATGTGTGTAGTAGTGCGAGGAAAGTAATTTAAGTACATTTGAAGTCTAATCGATTTAGTAATAAAATCAGAATGAAAAATATATATGGAATGTGATAAATTTATTTAAAATTTTATTTTTCGACATTTGTTTTCCTATATTTATTTTTTTTTTTTTATTTTTTTTTTTTTTCCTATAAACTTTAGTAAGATAATCTGTTTCAAAGTCTGCTTAGTCAGTTTAAATGGTTTGAACCTCTTTCACGCAATTCGAGATTACAGTGAAGCAAGTTCTTCTTCTTCGTGAAAAGTTGATAAATGAATTATTTCAAAATTTGATTTTTCTTCACCGAATCTCAAATGCAAAATAATTCATTGTTTTTTTTTTTTTGCATCTATGCGTTTTGGTAGATCGTCTTGCCTGAAACGTTTGTTGAAGATATTGAAATAATTTGCAAATTGATCAATAAAACCTTTCGCTCTTGAAAGCTCTTGCATAATCAATTAAATTGTCGAACGGTCCCACCCCCCATCCATATACCAAGCCCCACTTCACTATCACTACTTGCATCTCGTGTACTGTTATTGTGCTTGAGTAAATACATTTTACTTATTTATTTATTTATCTCAAACTATTTCACTCACTTGCGACGGCACGCGATACTTTAATGCTAGCTCATGTTTTTTGTCTTTCTTAAGATGAACTCTTAGCAAAAATAGATTAGGTTGAAATAGG